TTATTTTTAAAAACACCACACCTGGACAATACTGGGAAAGTTCCAAGCTCCCCAGAATGTGTGGAACCTGTCATGATCATGGCTCTGAGAGCTGGGATAATTGCTCATTTCATTCACCTGCCTAACTCTGCCTGGTTCCCAATTACTACTCACCTTATCCACCTGCTCCTGCCTCTTTATATACGCCCAGTCCCAGCTCTCAGGGCCAGATTATTGATGTGAGATCATTGTTGTTGATGCTCTAGTTCATGTTCTTGTTCTGGGGGCCAGGGGCCAGTGGTGAGAGAGGTTTTAGTGTTTCGTAGTGTTCGACTGAGTAAGCCTGTTCCTGTCTTATCTCAGGGGAGAGGACGGGTTTAGCTTTTCGTAGCGTTCCTGTTATCCTGACCTGTTCTGCCTCTCTACCACTAAGCCTGTCTGTTTCCATCTGAACGTTCTGCCTGAACCATCTGTGGACTCCCGGAACCCTGAACCAGCCTGTTCCTGTTCTCATCATTATCCCTGATCGGGCTTCTGACTCCTGGACCTCTGAGGCTTCCTGTTCTGATCCGTTTCCCTGTTCTGGCTCGGATTCCTACTTTCCCTGCAGGAATGCAGCATCAGGGACACTCTGGGCGGCGCTCGCCGCATCTAGCTGGCAGCCCCCCCGGCTGGATCCTACCTGGCTCTATTGAGATGGACTGAACTGTTAAACCAGGTAAGTGACTCATATAGATAATCATCCTCAATCAGATTATCATGGTCACTTACCTGTGTTTTTTCTCTAATGAGAGTTTCAAGTGATGGAGGATGCCCCGTCGCTACAGAAATTTCACAGCCCGCTTCTGTTATCTGTGTTCTAATAAAATGCTTTGAATTATCCCACTGTCTGTCTTGCCTACGTTCTGAGCTCTGACAGAACCGTGTCGATGAAATGCCTGAAGATGGACAGAAAGTGCTTCGTTAACGCTACAACAGCCATAACCAAAGGTAATCTGCCCCTTCTATCCTATCACATGCTGCTGTATAGATGTGGACTATGTCCTGAACCTTTCATCATCTTCAGGTGTGTCAGTTCATATCAGACGGACTAGATGATACTCGGATTTCTCCTGTTTGGATTTGGAGGATAGCTGATGTGTTTACAACTACAGAGGATGTTGGCGGCAATGTGGGCGTTGATCAGGCTGCCAGCAGTGGTTGACGCACTAACAAAGGCTGTGAACGAGCAGGACCGTGAGCTGGGCCATATGCTGGGTGAGACTGAACGCAGGCTGGCTGCGGTGGTTGAGCTCAAAGGTGAGATGGGATAACGTCTTTGATGTGCATGCTCGCTTCAAGGCGGAAAAGCCCAACACATTTGGAATATTGAATTCACTGTGTAGAGTGTTGTGCCTGAACGCGTTCATTGAACGAAAGTTCATGAACTCGTTCATATTTTGGGCGAACGTGAACTGAACGTACTGCATTACTGCCTGATGAACGTTATTGTGAACTCGTTCATTCTGGTGTCTGTGAACGGCACGCTCTCTCAGTTCAACTCCGTTCAATAGGTTGCCAGATTTCTATAGAGTCCTCCAGGCGAAACCCCGGCTAAATCACACCGTAAACAGGCCTTAATATGTAGCGGGAAAAACACCCAATCTGGCAACACCAGCTACCAGCGTCGTAGCCTACAGCCCGTGCGTCATCAAAACAAAATGCAGCGTGGAAGCCACAGCAGCATGGAGGCGACCATGGAGGCGACAAAGCAGCAGTATGATCACTTAAAACAGTTTTATGACCAGGTGGTCGGTGAGGATGATGGCAACAATCTTACATTTCTCTGCAAACTTTGCCTGCTGGCTTTCAGTAACATCCAAAGCAAATCTGAAACGGCATATGTACTGAAATGGAATTTCAAATGGAAAAAAATATTAAAATAAAAAAAAAACATTTGCACCTTAAAGACTACTTTCCTATTTTTCTTTTAATAATTCCTCATAAAAAAGACCATTCAAGCAGCACATTTTTCCTGATGTTTTTGAGAATATACTGTAGGGGTGAAAGCTGCAGCTGCTACTAGTGTGAAGTGAATGGACAGCAACAAAGCATTAAAGCAACAATGGGGAAATGCTGTCCCCTCAATGCTAATGTAAACCCTGGTTGGATAAGGATTCAAAGCTGGATATGAAGATGAAATCTGACGCACAGTTTCAGAGTTACAACTGATAAAATAATTGCTGTCTGTGGTTCTACAGTAGGCTATGGTGTAATTGAGCAATATATGAAAAAAAAAAAGAACTATGAACTAGTTCATTTTTTGGAACTGTGATCTTAGTTCAAAATTTTGAATTATGAACTATGAACTGAACTAGTTCATTTTAAAATGTGTGAACTGAACTTTGAACTAGTTCACGTAGAAAGAGAACTTTCCCAACACTGACTGTGTAGAGCCAGCAAGGAAAGACTCAAGGCTGATGGAAAATTCCTGTGCAGCCTGCTCTCAAAACAATAAGTGTTATTTTGAATTCGGCCTCCCCCTTATAATACCTCCCCTGGATGTTATCGGAAAAGGGCACAGAAGAACTGCTCCCCCCACTACCCGCGAACAATGGCCTGAGGACAGCGTTCATGGACAAATTGAACACACAACACACACACAACTAATGCTAAAATGTCAGATTGACTTTCATGTGGCTCCAGCCTCCAATGTCTCTGCTGAAATGTTTGTCTACTGTTTTTATGCGCTTTTCTTGTGCTGAGTTTTTTTTTATATCAAACTGTATATGTTTTTTTCCCCTCTCGCTACTTAATGCGGCTCCTATTTTTCCACACAGATAAAGGCAGCGCTTTAGGGAACCGCCTCATGTGGGGCCTTTTGCTGCCATGAGAACACGGCAGCATTCTGCGACACGCATGACCTCAGAAAATCGTTCCCCCTGTCAGCCCCCCCACCCCAATGTATGAGATGAACGGTTTGTACTGAAACTGAAATCTCAATTACAAATGGTAAATGGTAAATGGCATGTACTTATATAGCGCCTTTATTCAAGTTAGGAGACTAGACCAAAGCGCTTTACACTACATTCATTCACCCATTCACACACACTGATGGTGGCAGGCTACATTGTAGCCACAGCTGCCCTGGGGCTCACTGACAGAAGCGAGGCTGCCGTACACTGGCGCCACCGGGCCCTCTGACCGCCATCAGTAGACAATGCAGGTGAAGTGTCTTGCCCAAAGACACAACGACAATGAAAGTCTGAGTCGGGGCTTGAACCGTCAATCTTTTGATTTCAGGGCAAACTCCTACATCCAACGCCACTGTCGCCCCAGTGTAGGGCTGCAACTAACGATTATTTTAAAAATCGATGAATCGGCCGATTATTTTTTCGATTAATCGACGAATCGGAAAAAAAATATTTTACTTTATTTCAAAATAAACATTTTAAACAGAACAAACAAGCACACAAGTACAGGTTGCTCATTAACTGACTGGTGCAATATGAAAAATAAATGTTTGTGTTAAAACTACGCAAACTTACATGAGAAATGTAGCTGTACATCCACAAAATATAGGCTACTTTGTTTCATAAAGCGCAAAAAAAGACATTTTTGTTTTTAAAGCCCCTAAGGGGTTCAAACAATAGGCCCCCCCATTTCAACAAATGAGGTTTTTTTAGACTAGAAGAGTTCTGCCTTTTAAGACAGGAAAGTATAGCAGTTAAAGTTGCTACTTGAGAAAATACTGAACCATAGAGATAAAAATAGCCCTGTGATTCAAATTATAAATTGTATTTGGAATAAAAATGAGAGAACTAGGGGTGCTAAAAAACACATCCTCCAAAGACAGATATTTACATGGGAATGTGGCAGATAATTAATTGACATATTACTGATCTTGCTGGATTTTATTCTGCTTTACTTCCATAAATTGCAGGATCTTCTTTACTTTATCTTTGCCAGAAGATTTAAACTTTCAAAGCCTTGCCCTCATAATTTGCAAGTTAATTTATTTATAAAGTAAATATAAACGCTCCTTAAGCTAATTCAAATGAAATTAAAAGTAAAATAAGTAGCCAACCTTATCACTGTCTGTAACCTACTAACACGGTAAGGAAAGCATCAGATGAGCTACCTGAGAAACTAACGTTACGTTTCCCCACTTTAGAACCAAACAAACATGGTGGTTCCGTGCCATGTTCATTTGTTTTGACAAAAGTTGCATGTTACGACTTTTCTCGCTTTACAAAGCGCAGGCTATTTTAATTATTGTGATCAATTTGCGCCGTCAATCCCGGCGCATGCGCGCTTCATTTGCAGTCTGGACGCTGAGGGTAAACATCCTGCGGCTCTGACTGCAGCGCTGAGAGGGACTCCTGCGGGAGAACGGGGTTGGGATGGGGGAGGCGCCCCACGGCAGAGTAGGACGATACATGCTTTCACGTAAGAGTCTCCAAAAGCCGCCAGTGACACCGTAAAAAGTCGCCAGATTTGTCGCTATTCGCTTTTTTGAAAAATAGTCGCTGGAGGGGTCTGAAAAGTCGCTGAGTTGGCAACACTGCACCTGCGGCGCTGACTCGCTCTGCCATATTTTTTCTTCTTCTCCCGTTTCAGTCAAGTGGATGTGATGACGGCGGCGGCGGATGACGCATTAATCGTGCGACACAACTAATCGATGATGAAATTCGTTGCCAACGCTTTTAAAAGTCGATTTTTATCGATTCGTTGTTGCAGCCCTAGTTCAGACACATGCAAATTGTAGTTGACATTAAAGAAATTGATTGATTGATGCCCTCTTTACTCCACATAAACGGAGAAAAATTTAAAAAATCCATCAGCCATTTCTTTAGTGAGAAGTAGAGAAAAAACAACGGAGGAAACAGTGAGAGCTGAGATCTCTACTCTGATTGGTAGATTAGCTGAGACACCAAATATCTTTGACTCCTGTCTGACTGTCACACATCAAGCAGCACATTGCTTCTCGTTCACCATAACGCTCCTATCATCCTGCCAGTGGCAGTGAAAGGAGAATCTACCTTTGGTTATGATGGCCGGCTGCTCTCCCAGCAGCAGTCTGAGCCTCTTGGCGTGGATTTTCCCCTGGTAGTGGGACTGCGCCACCACTGCTGAGGTGAAGGACATGTTACACAGCGTGCAGCATTTGTTCTTGTCCACATCGCCCTCATCGCTGCCCTAGAAAGGAAAAGGAGATGCAGAGGTTACCTCTGAATGATGATGCATCAAATCAAATGTTTTAAAAAACAGAAATTGTTCAGGTAGTACCAATGTTGTCTTTTTTTTTAAATTTCCACCCATGTTCAGACGGATGGGTAATGACTGCCATCTTCTCTGCTCAGCATTGCAGGTTTGATTTCTTATTCGTTTTTTAAATGTTTTACTGGTGATGTTAAATGCTCCAGCATCGCTTTCTTGACCAACTCAGATTTAAGATTTATTTATGAGTTTAACGTTCATCCAATCAAACTTATGATCTCCTTTAGCTGACTGCAGCTTTGTTTACCTCTGTTTGGGTTTTACTGGTGGTTCCAGATTGAATTTAATGGGAATAAAACTCCCTTTTCTTGGAGTCAGTTCCCTGGCAAATATTAACTTATGCTTCAATCCATTTTTTATTTTATTTGTATTTTAAATCTAAAGCCCTCCACTTAGAATTTTTTTACTTTTATCTGAAGTTTGTTTTTATAAACTTTTTAAATTTTTGAGCTGAAAATGTTGATTGTTGACTGGCAAAACATAAATAATAAAAAGAAAGTACACAGACAAAAGATTTACGTCAAACATTAAGTAAGAAATAAAACTATTAAAGCTGCTACTAACAACTCTCTCTTTTCTTTTCCTCATAGTAGCTTCATCTGGTCTGTTCCTGTTTGGCTGTGACTCCATCCTGGAGAGAAATATCAGCTGTGCTGCTGCCATCAACACCTTTGTTTCTAGATGTTGGAGCTTGGCCTGTTTTCCAGTGTAGTCCTGTTTCTCTGACTGTGACTAACTGGAGGTGCTCTCTTCATCCTCTGACATGGGAGCTGGCTCGGAGCTCGTCTGCCTGGCTGTGTGTTTCCTGGACGGGGCCGCCTGTGGAGCTGGTTGACAGTTGCCTTTTGTATCTATGCTTCTTTTTCTATGTCTGCTTCTGTCTCCTTGAACCCCAGTGGGCCTCAGCAGATGGCCGCTCACACTGAGCCTGGTTCTGCTGGAGGTTTCTTCCTGTTCAAAGGGAGTTTTTCCTCTCCACTGTCGCTACAAGCATGCTTAGTGTGAGGGATTGCTGAAGAGTCAATGAGTCGATAAAATCAACAGTTTTTTCTTAGATAGAAAACTTTGAATCAATCTGACTGGATGATCTGGTGAACTGTAAAGTGCCTTGAGATGACGTGTTGTGAATTGGCGCTTTAGAAATAAACTGAATTGAATTGAACAACGTGCAACAACCCTCTAACTAATTTTAAATCTGTGATCATATTAAGCCGGGCATACACTGTGCAATTATTTCAATCGTTGCACGCAGCTACAGCTCACACTGTACAACCAAACCACAGGGTTTAAAAGTTCACAGCTCACCATGTTTGTTCTCACACTGTGCGACCCGACACTCTGATGCGATCTACCTGCTCACACTGTACGTCTAAAACCTGGTGGGTCTCAGCTCCGCAGTGAGATGGAGCTACTTGGACTCGTCTATCCGGAAGCCAAACGAGTAGCAGAGGAATATGAAGCTCGCTAGAGTGAAACGCGCTGCCTTGGATATTTGTGCTGAAATCCCTTAAACAGAAAAGGCAACGATGTATTTGGACAAAGACATGGCTGAGCAAACGTGGGTACTACGGTCTGTCAGTTTGACGGAAAGAACTCGTTCTCGTGTGCTCGTGTACTCGTGACACGTCATCAGCCTCACCCCGAGTACCGTTCCAATTCTCGAGAACGCCAGATCGAGAACGCACCAAATCCCCGGATGTTGTTCTGGCCCCGCCCTCTTTATCGAGCATGCATCAGAGCAGACTTGTGCGTTCTTCAGACTGACCGCTTCCCCAGAATGCCCCGCGGCCGCAGCTTGATTCCAGACAGCGCTCACAGTGTTAAGTTAAACATTCCCTTTTCTGCTGCTGTTGTTCTTCAAAAGTACGTTTTGAAATCGTTTGAGGCGATAACATTATACATTGAAGCCTCCCTGTGTGGTCTGTTTACAGAGTTAGTGCGAAATTTAAAAAAAAAGTCCGACGTTGAGCGGACCAGAGTGACCAGCAGACCTCCGAGGGTAACCGCAGCCAGGGCTAATGTTACCCCGTCTGTGGTGCACTTCTCTCGGTCTAGTTATGTGTGAACTACCGCTCGTTCTGATCAGGGCCGGCGATTGCTATAGGCGAGCTAGGCAATTGCCTAGGGCGACAAATGTGTTGGGGGCGCCCTCTAGCGTCGCCCTTAGGCTTACTTCCCATTAATCATAGAATTAGAAAAAAAAGCGAATTAAACCGGTTATGAAGCGTCCGTCAGTTTGACTTAACCTTACGTATATATAAATAGCAAAATATGAACAAATAAATATACCACCGTTTTTTTATTTATTTTTTCACATTTAAGAGAACATCGGAAAAGATTCTGATCACTTTTCAAGCGCCCTCCAACCCGGAAGTCGTGACGTAAGAACGGGAGCGTTCATGGCGATCTACTGCACTAAATGCGATAGCCAAAACGAGAAATCTGAAAGCAAAATTTCGACTTCAACCGAGCGATTCCTACCAGGAGACCATTCTGATGTATCGGAGGAAGAATATTTGTGTCTGGAGCCTGTTATGCCCAAAAGTGCATGCCTGCCGAAATATGCATCCCCAGTCGCGGGAGCGCGCCTCGCTCTGTTGAACTGCATATCGACGAGGAAAACGGATTAAAATATGTTCAATGGAGCTTAGGTTCTTATATTAATGATATAAAAACGTTTAAAATACCTCTTGTGGGAAAAAATTTGTGGTTATTTGGCAGATTAATTTACAAAAGTACGGATTTTTTGAACAACATTAAATCCAAAGATTTTGACCATGGTACGGCTGATTTATTTGTTGTGGTCTCTTGCTATTTACACACAACACTAAACCGTGATAGCCGACGTGAGTTTGGAGTTTGCAAAGGTTTCTCTGAAGTGGAAAATCAAACGCGCATCTACACAGCACAGCGTTCACAGACCAGTGAGATGCGTTCGCTGCGCGTCAGAAAGCTATGGTGCATTCAGGAGCATTGGAACATTTTAAACTTACAAGAATGAGGCATAAAACAGAACTGTATTTTACTGAACTGTATTGTATTTTTTTTTTTTGTTTGTTTATGCATCTCACTGGTCTGTGAACGCTGTGCTGTGTAGATGCGCGTTTGATTTTCCACTTAAGAGAAAGCTTTGCAAACTCCAAACTCACATCGGCTATCACGGTTTAGTGTTGTGTGTAAATAGCAAGAGACCACAACAAATAAATCAGCCGTACCATGGTCAAAATCTTTGGATTTAATGTTGTTCAAAAAATCCGTATTTTTGTAAATTAATCTGCCAAATAACCACAACTTTTTTCCCACGAGAGGTATTTTTAAACGTTTTTATATCATTAATATAAGAACCTAAGCTCGTTTGAACATATTTTAATCCGTTTTCCTCGTCAATATGCAGTTCAACAGAGCGAGGCGCGCTCCCGCGACTGGGGATGCATATTTCGGCAGGCATGCAGGGCATAACACCTGGAGATTAGATGAATGGTAGAACAAGTTTTTTCTTTAACAGTTCAAACATTTTTTTGTATGTTGACATCATTTTTTTCTCAGTATATATGCAGCAGAATTATGTGCTATATTATTAGCTTGAGAATGGGTAGAAGATACTAATATAAATTAAATATTTTGTAGTGATTATCTGCATTGAGTATTCAAAAGGGATGTACAAATAATCATCAAAATATATGAAGTTATGGCTGTTCATCATAGAATATGTGAACAAAAAAAAACAACAACTTCAAACTTTTAATTTTGTAATGGTATTCATAAAAGCACTTTTGTTTGTAGAGGGTTAATCCTTTCTTTAATCACTAATCAATGTCAGAAATCAGGGTAAATATACCTGATATATTTTATTTAGAGGAAAATTTTGTTTATCTCATTTCTATTTATGTTCAAATGATTTAATTGAACTGGAACAGAAAATTTAATTTAATGTTTATCAATTACTTTTTTATGTAGTCCTTGGTTGAAGAATTTCTTAAATTTATTATTTTTTATTGTTATTTGGTAATTTCTGAAATTGATTTATTTAATATTTGTTTAATGTGTGTTAAATTTGTTAATTGTCTGAAATAAATTCATTCAATGATTCAATCCAGTTTTTTAGTTATACTTTACCTACGTGTCCTTACAGATGGTTGAAAGTGTTTTTGCACAGTCCTAACTTTGAGTGTGTAATAAATTATTTAAAATAATAAAAAAGAAAAGGTACTGAAACCTATTCTGGTATTTGTCTATGCATCACTCCATGCTAAGTTACAGTTTTTTCTGAATGCTTAAACACAACCTTGTTTCTTATAGCACAATTTCTAAAACTATTAATACTTATAGCAAATCCACTCACTGAGTTCACAAAACTAAAAGAACAAACACTGCTTTGCACTCAATTTGCAATTTTGTAACACACACTTTGCACAACTGTAGGCACAATTCACCGCACAGCACTCTTTGTGGAACTGTAAACACAACACAATGAAGCACTAAACAGATGCTGAAAACAGTACTGGTATTTGGCACGGCAAAATTGATGGGGTGGGGGTGGGGGGGGGAGGGGTGGGGGGGTCGCGCAAAACTCAATCTCGCCTAGGGCAACCAAAGGGCTAGAACCGGCCCTGGTTCTGATGGCGGTTTTTTGCGGTTCGGTTATTTTTTTTAATGTTTTTTAAGCTTTAGAAATTAAAAATACTGTTTTCAAAATGTTTTGTGTAGGGAATAAATAGTTTTGACTGGTAAAGAAATGCTAAAGAACGTTGCATGTGATGACGTCACGCGTACGCTTCTGTTCCAATACACATACGTGCTTGCGTGCTCGCGTTCTCGTCAAGTCCGATCTTCCTCGTTCTCGCCAAGAACGGACTTCACGAGAACGCGAGTACGTACTCCATTTCACTCATTGCACCTCCGCCATGCTGCTTTGTTTT